GATAATGATACATACAAAATGCACCATCTGAAAACAAGGATCTGTTACCCTGTCAAATACGTCGCCCGTCTGTTTCTCCATGTGCCCACGGCCCTTGAAATGCAAATTTATCACGGAGAAAAGTTAATGCAACGGTAGAATTATTATTTATAAAGAGCGCCCTTCTGCCTTTAAAACGATTAGTGTGGCTTTAGGTTAATGTCCATATTTTTCATACGATGAACCCTACCAACTGAAACAGTATAAATCGGGATTTATGAGCATGGATCAAGTGGGAAAAATGGTATGTAGCTTTCGATTAATGTTATTTTTTTTTTTCCACTCTCTAGGGCAAACACGGTATAAATGCTATGCCTCGCTTTAATAAAATAATAGGTTCTTCTGCGGAACCGGTTTTTCCCGTTTATGACTTGTTTATTAGCGCGTATGCATGCACGACCGCATGTGCATGTTTGTGTTTGTGTGTGTTTGTGTTTAAGTGTAGTGTGGTGTGTGTTAGTGTGTGTTTGTGTTGTGTGTTTGTGTGTGTGTATGTGTGTTGTGTATGATGTATATATATGTATGTATGTATGTATGGATGGATGTATCTATTTATCTATTTATCATCTAATCTATCTATCTATCTATCTATCTACCAGTCTATCTATCTATCCTATCTATATTATATATATATATATATATATATATATATAATAAATATATATATTTATTTTATTTTATATACGAGGTGGCACATCTAAGGTCCAGGACTGACTTCACAAAACATTTATTCCAAACCAAAACTTTAAAAGTAATCCCCTAGAGTACCATCATTGCACTTTCTCATCCTTCTCTGCCACGCTTGCATGCACTCCTGGAAGGATTCTTCTGCCGGCATCCTCAGGGCATTTGTGGGCAGGCACGTTGCCATGGCGAAGCAGCCAGGAGTTGTCCTGCCACAGCTTTCGCCTCTTCTCACGCAATGAACGAAGCAAACGCTGCATTAATCCTTTTGTAGACATGTTGGCTGATCGCCTGGCCCTGTGGCAAGGACTCGCAGTGACGATCCCCCTGTGACATCAGTCCTGGAACTTTTCTGACACACCTCTATACATATATCATATTATACATACTATACTATACATGTATGTATATATGTGTATATAGATATATATATATAATATAAATATTATATATATATATATAATAATATATATATATATATATATATATACTAATTACTATATAATATATATAACACGCATATGTGTTCATGTGTATACGTGTGTGTATATGATCTACGTAATGTGCATATGTATATGCATAGATGTATACTACTAGATATCATAGCCATATGCCACACACACACACACAGCAGCACATTACACACATTCCTTATATGTAATACTATATGTGTCTAGCGTGTGTGTGTGAGTGTGTGTGTGGCATGTAGAAATGTATCGTAAGTGGTATACTATACACCAATAATATACAGAAGTAGACAAGAACTTGTACAACACCACATACACACACACACCACAACACATCAAACAACACACACACACACACGACACCACACAAGTATCTAATAGTATAATAGGTATATATATAATATATAAAAGTAGTAGGTATATATTATATAATATATAATTAATATATATACAAGTGAAAGTAAAATAATACTTTATAATAGTATATAATAATAAATATGTAGGGCTGAATGAAGCTTATACGGCGGAACTTATCAAAACAGCAATAATATTAATGTGTCGCTCGTGTATAGAAATGAAATAAATATCTCAAAAGAATACAAAAAAAAGAGACCATGAATAGTGTGTATGACGTATGGACTACAAGACCTTCAGCGTTATAGTACTATATTAAATAATTACTACCATATAAATAACTTATGATCAAATAAACCTCACCACCGTAATCACCAACATACTGAGGCTATGTTCGCTTCTAGAATAAAGTAGATATATTAATAATTTTTCCAGGTCCCTTTAATTCATATAAAAATACTATGACTGACTACTAAAATTATATATGAACTATGAACATAACTTTACTATACATATTTAGGGTATGAGAGGTGAAGCGAATATAGCTAGAGAAGTGACGCGTACCTATATATATGATCAAATGCCTGACTAATCCATAGCTACTGATATACTATTACTCATATAAAGATAGATATATATATAGAACCTGATGATATTATAGCGCGTATTATATTCTATATAGTCACGTTACTTATAATTGATCTATATTCATACTTTAAAAACCACTAAATCATTCAACTAGTCTATTAAATCCGATAAAGAATTAAGATTTGGTTACTTGAAAAAGTAGGTAAAGACCTTGCCATTTCTTGCGAGAAGCGAAGAGATAGCTGCCTAATTAATCATCATTTGCCATTAATACCCAATGCGACACATCTCGACTGCCTATGGTTAGTATCCCCAACAAGCCCCAAGGAATACACAAAATCACATAAACAAAAATCAACAAAAAGTATAAGAAATCACGGTTCTTCGTCTTCGATCCCCAATAAGTGAGCAAGGTTAGGCCAGAACAGCTTACCCAACCACCCTCTATACGTCCAGCTTTCCAAGTCACGCGGTAAAGATCACCACCTCCCATACAGAGTCCTATACACAATGCCGCCTGAGTAAACAGTTTGCGGCACGCCGGAACGCTCCCCGACTGCCTGCACACTCTCCTCTAGTCGCAGGCGGTGTGCTATGTTTGAGTTGTGTCTCGATCATGAGAATATAAACAACCTCATGTCCATTTCATAGCAGAAAGCCATAATCGAGTCTCAATGAATCCGCCAATCACAATGCCGTTTGCAGGTTGCATTTCGTTTAATTCGCAAATCTAGATAATATAATATACGTTCTGTACCCAAAAGTAGAAGTTGTGAACCTTAACAAGGTCACGAATATTTTTGATCTGCAATATCAGGGCGTTTCGTTCCAGTGGAGTGCTTCTAATGTCGAACCATAGCTCTGAGCTAGCAATAGCCTGTTCAAAGGTTTTGGATGTTGCATGTACACATAATATGACAGGTAAAACCTCTGTACTTTGATTCATATCGTTATATAAATATATTAATGTACTCATTTTTATTATTCATTAATCATTAATATTTCAATTATATGATAAATCATCATTAATATAACACAATGATAACTAATTTATGATCTTAGTGTCGTTAGTTATTTAAAAATCACACAAGCTTGATTTGTTGTATCGTACAAAACGTCTGGAATAGTAGTGATATTTCAATTTCCAAATTGCGCCAGTTCTATGCCCGCAGGAATGTTGTGTTTTGGTGTGTGGGTGAATGAGATGCTAAGTCAAAGTATAATGCTGATAAAGTGAGTCAGTATGTTTTGCTGTGCGGTGCTTCTCGTGCTGTGTTTGTTGTGATATGGTGCTAGTATGTCCCATGTAGAAGAGTATAAAATGAAACGATGGGCGAAGGGTGTATGTAGAATGGTATGTTTACCATCAGTATACATCACTTAACAAACAACAATTATCTAATATTAGAATCGTAGTACGTGTGAAAAATCCACTACCTCAGTAAATTTTTGAAAATAATAATCCACCCCTAACAGTATGAACAAATATCTGCGATTGAGAATAAATGAGATAAGAGTAAATGAAGGTCCTACCTGATGATAAATGTGCATAGAGATTTGTTGCCTGTGGATTTAACTATCCAGTAAATTATTACCATAATACGAGAAAACTCTATGTTAAATCTTGTCATAATCGTAGAGTCAATTGTATTCTTTTATAAGATTATGTGGGTGATATGTACATGTGGTGTATCAGACTGATCTATTCTTTCTATCTTCTTATTTACCCTCACCTAATCACCAAAAAGGATAGATACATATAAGGATTGAGTAATCGATTCGTAAAAATAATATTCAGAACTCACAATTGTGATCCAATAAACCACCTAGGAACATATCCTTTACCTATAATATATATGTATATTGGTACTATTAGTATGAAAAGTATAGTAATATTAAATCGATACAAAACAATACACATCACACACATAAACACACACATCCACAGTCACACACACTACACAACATTCTTAACCACAAACTATATAAATACTTAGATAATCACTGTATATATAACTTTCTTAATTGTATATATTATAATTAATAATGTAACCATGTTATTGTATGGTATGGTATGTGTGTGAGTGGCCAATGTGAATGGTATGCTGATATGTATTATATAAATAATATAGCATATACGACTGAGTAAGATATAAATCCAAAGTTTTATCTAAACTACATGAAATAAAAATTAATATAATATATATATTGTATGATACTCTCGTACTCTTAAGATTAGCACTTATAATATACATAAACTATAAAACTTATATTGATAATATTCAATATCATTATACTATTTAAATTATCTATACAAGGGTTGACATCCATATAAGTAAAATGATATAATGACTAGGATTGAATAATGAAAATTGATCGTGTAAATAAATAAATTAACGCCTGTCAGTATATTAACACATTACATCGATATAAAAAATATAATATAAATAGTATATATATATAGTAAATTATATAGAATATACATTACAACAGAAGGGATCTGATAATTGTATAACATATTAACTATGTTAGCGTCTTCAAAAATACAAAGAAAAATAGCAATACACATATTAATGTAGTTTTATAGAAATACGCGAAAAACCAAAAATACTTTCTATGTAAGATGCATAATAGCGCCTTATCTGAAAAGAAATTGTTAAATGTCATAGTTGTCAAAAGCTTGTTTATGATATTTATTTTTTGTTTTGATAATTTCAATCATAAAATAATCCTGATAGAGAAACAAACTCCTAATGGCTTGTATGTGCCAAAGATAAAAATCTTTGTTTTGAAAGACGTTAGGGATGATGCACCACGCCCATGTTGAGAGAGCGGGTCCCGTGTTTTTCTGAGGGAAACACACAAGAAAACGCTATTTTGCGGGACTGTAACAAGGTGTGCCTTCCTCAAAATCAAATAATGGTATTGGGAGACTGCCACGAGTATTGAGGAGTGATATGTCCAGCTATCATTCTGGTAAGAATCTATTGTTGATTTTCAAAACATGTTTGTTTAACATACGATGAAGTGTGAGCATGTGATTTTAGATATTTACTTATTTATTTTGTTTTCGGTAATTTTCTATATTACGTCCGCATAACCGATATCGACGATTTTGGTATCGTTGGATTCCCCTCACTCTCCACATTGCAAAATATATAGTTTTATTGCGCGGAACCCCCGTTAGCGACAAACTTGGCCCCGATAGCAGGGGAGGGCATGAAAGGTTCCAGGGAAAATGCGGGGTTAAATAGCACTAATAATATAACGCACAGTGAAAATAACCATGGTTATTCACATAACTTAACATTGCAGGGCGCTGTGCCCTCTGCGACCCCCCGCCGAGGAAACAAAACCTCCACCACGTATTCCCGGCAGGCTAGAGCGTTACACAATCATCGCCGATGTCGGAGCGGCGGGCGTAATATTACAATTACCTTGTAAGATTCCCACTGAATCAGCATATTAAGCTTGGCAAAGTCAGCATTGTATATAGAGACGATTGTAGTATAATCAGGATAAACAGGGTGGCCCGCCCTCGTCGGCGGGTTTTGCGCCTCTTTCGATGTTACACCGATGGCCTCAAGGTCGAGTTTCCCGTCCTCTGGAATAACGACATCCGTATTCCTAACCGAAATAACCGTCGCGTTCAGAAGTCAGTCATAGCCGCCGCGATGGCCGAGTGTGGAGGGTGCTCGTTTTCGGAGACGGATTTTCTGCGCGAAATTGCAATTAGCCAGGAAAAAATGCTAGATATGTGCTTCCGCCACGGCTTTTGGGAGAAAGCCTGCGGCCTATGGCCTCTTGCCGGACGCACCCTGCCTCCTTCACATTCTGCGGCAAAGGAGCACCCTCCCTACTAATTAGCGGCATTAATCAATCAG